TTTTAAAAGCCCTGCCCTCCTCCCCTGCGTCAGCCGGTCACATTTTCGGGGAAGTCGGGGAAGTCCGATGACATGCAGCGACTACCCCTCCCTCCCAATGGTCATGTTCACAATACAAAATGTACGTCACGACTCACCTGCTCGATTGGCCTCCTTCAGTCAATATTGACTACCGGGGCCGTCAAACCTTTGGTCAGCTTGGCGCGTTTTTTTTTCGGCCCGGCCTTTACCAAGCAAAGGCGAGTTATACCACGAACCAGCTGGTTTCCTGTATCCACTGACTTTCTGTATTACGCTCAGTTTTGTGTTTGCCAGAGTTGTGAGCGAAGAAACTTACCCCCCCCCCCGAAGCGCGGTAATTGAGGCCTAGTTGGCGGCCTCAAACGCTCTCGGCGCCGAAGATTTAGCGCTGAGCTCACGGTGGTCTGGTTACCCAGATGTGACTCCCCAAGGCCGTGAGAACGGAGAGGGTATCGGGCCGCTGGAAGTTCATTTATTGGATGACATCATGCACCTACACAAATACGTACATGTAATACACTCACACCCGCAAACACACGCACGCACACAAGCTTATACAGGCAAACAGACGAACACAGACGAACACAGACGCACACATACACACGAACACACACACGCACACACATACATAAATACAAACACACACACACACACACACACACATGCAACCACACACACACATGCAAACACACACACACACATGCAAACACACACACACACACACACACACACACACATAGACGCACACACACACATACACACGAATACACACACACAAACACACTCACACACAGACACACACAAACACACACACACACACACACACACGTAGACACACGCACGCACACACACACACACATACATACAAACACACACGTAGACACACGAACACACAAACGTACTCACACACACTCAACAATCTACATTTTGTTTCACACAAACGTTTCAAATATTGGTAGACGTACCAAGTACTATACTGAGTATGTTTTACCTCAGAGCAAAGCAAGAAGGGATCAGGGCTACAAATTCGACCGCGAAATTAAGTTAAAATTATATTCGCTTTATAACATGGTGGTACAGAACATGGTGAGTTAAGGGCGGTTATAACGTCTGGGGGTGGAAACCAAGTGACTGTAATGAAGGGGTATTGAATTCCATACAAGTATAAGGCCATGTTGATTTGATTATATGGATGACATCCGCGCGCGCATGAATTTTCGGCCGTTTCCACAAAAAAAGTTTTCAACCATACTGTAAATCGTGCAAAACAGTTGCTAAATGAGCAAAAATATACCATAAGTTGCAAGGAAAACATTTAGAAACGATACCAATGTCGTAGAATGCCAAAATCAAAGGAAAAAGACAAAAATATAAAGAAATGAATTCGAAGAGTAGATTATTCGCCAAAACATATTCTGTGCCATTTG